AAAAAAACAACAAAAAAAAAAAAATTGGATTATAGTGATGCAACTTTGCTAATCTAATTTATTAGATAATACCTGTGGAGTTTCCTAAGGCTCTATTCTTAGATCCTTTTTCTTTTTCATTTAGATTATTGATTTTCATAAAGCTTCAAACTTGAAAGCACTCTTATTTGCTAATGACCCTTTTTATGCGATAATAGCATTAAAATATTAAAAAATATATGCAGTGGCGTTGCTAGAAGGTGCGGACCGCACCGGATGACACCATCACGACGTGACGCAGAGAGGTGACACTAAAATAAATAAAAAGCAAATGAAGTATTTTATTAGAGGACCTTTTTTTAAAAAAAAAAATTTGAGGACTTTTTTTTAGTTTCACCTTTCAGCTGTTAATCTAGAATGGTGACATCAAAAGTGTACCGCACTGGGTGACACCAATCTCAGCAACGCCACTGTGAATATGGAACTGTCTCATTGCACAGTGGGACAGAGTGTGCCAAAATACAAAAAAATCACTATCGGCATTGTATTTTGAAAATATGTCATATTGGTGAAAATATGTTTATAAGAAGAAATATATAGTTAAAAAAACATTAAATAATAATTTAAACGTTGTTTTATGGGGTTATATACACGTGAATTTGACATGTGTTTCAAAACGCTTTTTTGCATTTTTTAATTATTAACTTTCTTACGCTACTATTGTTTTAAATTAATTTTATTGAGTATGATTTTAAAATATATTATTTGATTTAACTTTGTTTTTTTCGCTCTGACTATTCAAAACAATTAAACGTAAGTTTAATCTTCAGTTTTTATGCATCAGTGACAGGCAGTTTTGGCTTTTTTTTTTGCTACTAACCTTTACTATTAGGTTTCAGATAAACCGTCCTCCAATATCCTCCAAACATTTGATTATGTAAATGCTTAATGTATCTTAACTACAATTTATCATAAATATTTTGCAACTTTTTGCAACTAATAAAGTTATAAAAAATAACTCATACTCAATTCATAGTATTTATTGCAAAAACACGTTTTTCATAAGTTCTTGCACATTTTAGCACATCTTAAATATCGCTGGAATGTCTGTAAACGCAGAGAATTTTTATTTATTAAGAACAATACTAAATGGCTTGATAATGAAGTTAATTTAAATGATTTTGCTGCAGGCAAAATAACCATACCTACAAGTTCCCAATCTACTTCCAGCGCTGGTCGACCAACAATTACTGACTTTCAAGAGTGTTCTTCAAGAACCAAGTATCGACGTGTTAGTAAACTCCAAAAAAGTCACTCGTCAAATGAGCTAATATTTGCTTCAAAAGTTTCATTAAATAAAAAAGGAAAAATAGAAAAAGCTAAAGCAATCAACAAAATATATTTAGATAAGAATGTAGATTCTTCGATGCTTTCTGGAAATGAAGTCGTTGATGCTAGATTCAAATATGACCAAACCTGCGTTTCAACTCCATAGAAATGCAGCAATTGAAAAAGAATGCAACCTGTATCCTGCACATAACAACTTAAAATCATCAAAACTTTTGTGCTACCCTAATAACATGATTTTTACTGACTATACTGCATGTATACCACTGCAAAGTTTATGTGACCATACAGCTCAATGACTTTGTCAAGTTCAAAATGAGGTTTTATGTATGCTAGAAACGTTTGACCTGGTATCTCTTCATTATAAAGCTGGTTTTGATGGGTCTACTGGTCAAAGCATATATAAACAAAAAATGTCTGTTAAAAGTTTTCGCGACTTAAAAAGAGAAGAATCATTGTTTCTAACTTGCCAACTTATGTTAGAGAAACCCTAACTGTCATTTGGAGAAATCCAAAACCTTCTTACACTTTATATTGCCGACCTTTAAGATTTAAATTTGAAAAAGAAACAACTGATTTATTACTTATTAAAGAAGCTACTTTGAAAGACGAGATCTTAAATCTTGTAGAAACTTTTGTTCAGTTATCTAATGGCAAGTCTATTTCAGTCAAACATATCATTCAAGTTACAATGATAGATGGTAAAGTCCATACTACTCTATCAAATGTAACAAGCTCTAGTCAATGTTGCTGTATATGCGGGTGTTCACCAAAAGACATGAACAATATTGACAAAGTTACGAAACTTCCATACTCACCGGATGAGCTTCAATATGGATTATCTACACTTCATGCATGGATAAGATTTTTTGAGTGTCTCATAAATATTTCATATAATATACCAATAAAAAAATGGCAAGCAAGAGGAGACGTAGAGAAATCTCTTGTTAAAGAGCAAAAAATGAAATACAAAAAGAATTTCAACACAAAATGGGACTTATTGTTGACTACCCAAAATGTGGAGGATCTGGAAACTCAAATGACGGCAATACTACTCGAAAAGCCTTTTCAAATGAAGACTTGTTTGCTGATATTACAGGAATAAACAAGGAACTATTTGTAAAGTTGCATATAATCCTAATTTGTATATCAAGTGGATTTCAAATAGATACTAGTAAGTTTCGCTTACTTTGTCTGGAGACCGCAAAACTCTACTCATGCTTGTACCATTGGGTTACATGCCTCAGAGTCTTCACAAGATCTTAATTCATGGAGCAGAAGTAATAGAAAGTCTATTCTTACCAATAGGTCTATTTAGTGAAGAAGCTCAAGAAGCTAGAAATAAAGAACTTAGAAAATATAGGGAACGTCATTCCCGTAAAAATTTAAGAACAAAGACAAACGAAGATGTAATGAAAAGACTTTTATGTACATCTGATCCAGTTATTTCATCTTATAGAAAAACTGTTTCATCTGTAAAAAAGAAATTTCCTCCGGGTGTTGTTGAACTTTTTATTTGCGAGAAATCTACGTTCTAGAATATAGATCTAGTTCGTAATTTTTAATGGTAATTAAACTAAAAAATAAACTTTTTTAGCAATATATATGAGCTTGATATTCATTTTATATGGTTTGTATAATTAGTTTATAACAGTTCTAATAAAAAAAATTAAAAATAATTTTTGCACAAAAAACGGGATTTTATCCCACTGTGCATTGGTTTAAAATAATTAAGCTTTCACAAAATCAAAATATTCAATATAACAAAATGCATATTTTAATTTTAAATAAAAATTATTAACAAATATTGTTTGTTAATATTTGTCATTTAATTAAAATCAATACTTTAAAAATAAAATAAAATCTCAAAAGAGTCGTGTAATTATGATGTAAAAAATAAAGTGCTGATTTTAAAACAATGTTTGAACTTTTTTTTTTATTAGTACTTTATTTCGCTTGTTTTGAAATCTTAAGTATAGAAATTTGACTATATGAATAAAGATATGACTAGAACTATGAGGATAAAGAAGTAAAAAATTTCCAGTTTAATGTGCGATTGAAAGAAATGTTTTAAATAAAAAAAAATAGTAATGTAAATCAAGATTTTTTTTAGGTCTCTTTTCTTTAACATGTTATGAGGTGAGAATCTTTACCTTTTTTTATAATCTTTACCTTTTTTGACTTTTAAAATAAAACAATTTTTAAAAAATTTTGGGGACAGCATATAAAAAATTCTAATTAGCTATGTTTTCTTCGCAAGTTTTTCACTTATAACATAGTGAAAACTAAGTTATAAGTGAAAAACTTGTGAATATTGAAATACGCTAGAAAAACAATATTCTTAGGTAAATAACACAAACTTATAATAATGTATATAATATTATAATAAATAACACAAACTTATAAAAATTTATAATAATGGCTCACAACTGAAAATAAGTAAGTTTATCTAAAAAAATTAGTTGCAAAATATTTTAATTCTATAATTGTTGCTGTACCAATTTATTTAAAAAAAAGTTTATCTAAATTAATATGAAAGTTGACCTAATTGTGTAACGGTAGATTATAGTAAAAAGTGTATTCATAACAACACCTTAGCAACCATAGAACATTTTAGTTTTTAAAACAGTAAAATTTTTATTTTATAACAAATTTTATTAAATTTTATTCAGTTTAAACTAATATATTTTTTTTAAAAAAAGCTAGAAAAAAAAAATGAAGGAAATCGATCAAGAAGAACAGAGCAAAAATCATCTCATAGAATAAATTTGTTTTTGAAATAAATAATTTTTTTTTAAATGAACTTTTAATTCTGAAAGAATTAATTATTGAAACTGCATGCAGTAACTGCTTTCAACCAATAAATTTTTTCAGACGTTGGTTTTTGTTAAAAAAAAAAAAAAAAAAAAAAAGAAAGAAGAAAAAAAAAAAAAAAAAACTCCCATTTTATACAATTAGAGTGTAAACTAAAAAAAAAATGTGTGCTTTGGTACACTATATAATTAATGGTTTAAGTCAATTTTTTTTTTTTTTTGTTACACTTTGCAGTCAACCTATTTTAAAACAATCAGAAAAAAATCTATATATTGTAGCAAAGATTATATTTCTATTTTCATATTTCTATTTACAGAAATAAATGTTTGAAGTAAATAGAAATATAAAACGTCTAGTAAATATTTTTCAGATTAATCATTTACTTTTGCTTGTATTGTGTAAAACAGAATATATGGTTAAAAATTTTTTTAATATAATAATATATACATTTAATAAAAATCAACATTGATGCTAACAGGTCAAAGCATTAGCTTCAAACGTTTAACTTTAAATTTAGAACTAGATAGCGCATCATTTGATATTCTTTAATTTTATATCAATGTCTGTAAAAAAAGTAAAACTTTAGCGCTTCGAATTTTAGAAAACGCGTTTTTATTTAAAACAAGTTTACGTAAAATGTTGTTGTCTTAGAATATTGCATTACTAAGTTGCGTTAAGATTTTTTATACATATAGGAAATTATAGAATTAAAACATACAGTCATAGTAATAATATTAATAGAAAAAATATTGAAAACATGTTTTGTTTTCATTTTAGTTACTTAAGGTATTTTTATTAATCCCAAGTCAACTTATGTACTATTGTTTCGATACCGTAAATATTGATTTGTTTCGTAATTTGCTATTTTATGTTCCACCCGCGGTAGCTTTGGAACGTGGCAAAGCAAAAACAATTTAAAATTGAAAAATATTTTTTTAATATCAAGATAACTTTTTTGTAGCAATTTGAAATGGTTCAAAATGAGCTGCTTCAGAAAGCAGAAGATGTAGCAGATCAAGTTCTTAGGCATTCTAAACATATTTTACCACATTTAGCCAGATTTTGTCTTGTATCAACATTTTTTGAAGATGGTATTCGTATGTGGTTTCAATGGTATGAGCAACGAGAGTACATTGATCACCAATGGAACTGTGGATGGTTTTTGAGCATGTCCTTTGTTGTTATTAATTTTTTCGGGCAATTGATTGGGTGCTTTATGATTCTTACAAGAAAAAAGGTTGAAATTGCTGTAGGTCTACTTTTTGGAATAATTATTTTACAG